CGCGGCCATTAGAGCAGCGCGGAGTCCGTGCGGTACATCTTGGACATCAGAGTCACCGCGGCAGATCACGCGACCCATGTTCACGGCCTCTGTGATAGGCGCGGCCCTCAGTTGGCTTGCTGCTCTTGTTATCCCGAGGGCCCGAGCGCACGTGCGTCAGCGCGCATGGGGAATGTTGCGCGCGCTGGCAGGGGGCAGGGTGAGCTGGTAGAGGGTGGGGGGCGCCAGCGCGCGATGCAACAACAGGTTGCACGTTCATTTCTGGGGCTTAGAACGCACGGAGGTAGCGCTACGCGCGCAGTCTTAGGTGGCACCAGAACATGGCCAGCCACGGGAAGGAACGCGGCGCGGCACTTGCGACTGTAGTCGCCACCCCAAACAATGAAGACGCACCCAGGGAAATCTCGATGCTGGAGGAGGGAGGATGCGTGGGTACAGGCACTGCGCCATGGACCATGCAATGTGCAGATGGAACGCGGGAGTTAGCAAGCATCGGCGAGAGTATGACGCGGCGCGATGGGCGTCACTTGGGCACGTCGATATCCCAGGCCGGCACGTCTGTTCACAAAAGCTGGTTCGACACAGACTCATCCGCACCACGCAGCGATGAAAGGGGCTGGGATGCGCTTGCGAGGAGGAACGGCGAGGCGGAGGGTGATGGACAGGAGCGCGCTGCTATCGCCGAGGAGGGGCGGGGGGCCAACCGCGGAAAGCGCTTTGCGACATGCGCGGCACCAGCTTGGCACTGCCGAGAGCATCGCAATCTGCCGCAGATAGCAGCCTCGGTCGTAGCCACAAATCAGCGCACTTGGGGTCGCAGCAGTTCTACCGGCAGGAAAACGGCGATCGACAATGCAACGCGAGCGGTGCACTTCCATTGCATGCGACATCAGGGCCGACACGAGCGGGCACATGCAGTGATCACGACATACACGTTGTTCATTTCGAAGTACTCAAAAGAGCATTTTTTGCGGGGCCAAGATCCGTTCATTTCTACTTGTTCTATCCTGGGCCTAGTCCTGGCCACTAGGGGGGCCAGGAACAATTTGAAACGAGCGCAATTAGAAATGCGCACGGTGAGAAATGAACGACGTGTACATTATTGCTTGCCCCACTTGTGCCCATGCAGCTCCTCCATATAAGAGCGCCAGGGCCACGCGCTCTCCCGCCGCACAGGACCCGAGCGAGTCCGCCCAGCAAAGCGACGAGGGGCCCATGGCGGCGGAGTGGCGACAACGGCTAGCAAAGAGGCCGCCGCTAGGCGAGCTAGGCAGCCAGGCCGCGGACAAACGCAAGCTCGATGAGACCACGACGGCCGCGCGACGAGGGAACGGGCGAGCTCGTCGAGGGGGCGGGCAACCTGGGGAGGTCGGAGGGGGAGGATCGGCCACGTCGGCCAATCTTGCAAAGATCATGGAAGCCATGCGTAAGTGCCTCGCTCTGCCATGAGAGACCTGCACCGCCTCACCGCAGTGTTCTGGCTGCCCCACTCCGGTGCCTCCTCCTCCTCCTCCTCCTCCTCCTTCTCCTCCTCCTCCTCCTCGGCCTCCTTCTCCTCCTCCTCCTCCTCCTCCTCCTCCTCGGCCTCCTCGGCCTCGGCCCACCGCGCGGACGCGTCGCGCCAGCGTTCGCAGAAGGGGGCCGCGGAGACACTGGAAGAGGAGATCCCGCGACCCGCGAGCACCTCCGGCAGGCGCTCCCTACGCCCAAGAGTCAGAGCCCCGAATCATCAGGGGTAACTCGGGTCAGGGCTAACTCGGGTTCGTTTTTCGGGAATCCGAACCCGAGTTACCCCGGACCCGAGTTACCCCGGATAACTCGGGCGCCCAGAGCCCCGAAATCATCAGGGGTAACTCGGGTCAGGGCTAACTCGGGTTCCTTTTTCTGGATCCAAACCCGGGTTACCCCGGACCCGAGTTACCCCGGATAACTCGGGCGCCCAATCGCTACGCCCCAGAGGTTTTTATGGAACAGGTCACCACCGAATGAAAACTTTTCTTTTGACGGGGGCGTTCCTGCTGTTCGGGGCCCAGGGGGCGCGCGCGCAAGGGGCGGCGGGCACACGGGCGCTCGCGGGGCGGGCCCGGTCCGCGGCGGCCCCTGCGCCCGACCTCCCGGCGGCGCTCTGCGGCGTGGTGAGGATGGTAGACGAGCAGTTCAATGTCGCAGGCCTAGAGGTTGACACCAACACCAAGATCGGCGGTGCGCCTCCACCGAGGGAAGACGATCCTGATCTCGGTGATGGTGGTAATATTCTGGCTTCCAAGGTGACCGAAAGATTACCACCAACACCGAAATCTAGGATCATCTTCCCCATGTGGAGGCAACCCCCTGTGCTGGTGTTGGTGCCAATTCCCAGGCCTCCAACAATGACCTCTCGCCGCCTTCCGCTCCGAACTCTGCAAGCGCGGCTTCTGCCCGGCGATCCGCCGCCCAGGGCGGGGGCGCCCGCGCCCTCGGGGCCGTCGAAATTGCAGAGGGGGCGCGCGATCGAGGCCCAGCCCCGGCGCCGCCGCAAGGACCGGGCCAGGACAGCGGCCCAGACCCAGACCTCCTCGAGTCATGAAAAAATCACGACGGGAGGTTTTTCGCTATTTTCGGCCTCCGGGGGCCCTCACCGGGCCTCGGGAGCGTCAAAAAACGACTCGGGATGAAAAACCGGTCCCGGTGAATGGGTCTGGACCTCTGGGGGTCGCGTCATGAAAAAATCATGACGTCGGGGGTCTGGGGACCGAGAGAGGAAAAGTAGAAACAGCACGGGGCATTTGCATGCACCCAGTGTGGTTTCGCACACTTGCGGGCCCCGGCCCCGGAAGGCGGCAGCATCATTGCCTCAGTCTTACAAGCCGATATACTGACAGGAGAATCGCACCGTGCACTAGCACCCCACAGTTGGAAGGCAAGCACAGGAGGAAGACGCGACTTCTGCGCCTCCACCCTGGCCACATGAGCTCTGCGTGCCGTCTTGCCCGCCCCGCCCCTCTGTCCGCGGCAAATTGGCACCGCCTGCGCAAAACAAATGAGCGACTTCTCAGGCTCCGATTACGACTGCAAACGTTTGCGGCCCTACCACCGTCCTCAGAGGCCGCCGCTGCGCGTATCCGCGCGAAGGGGATCGACGTGGCCACCCAGGGTGAGGCCAGCCATGGTAACGACCACCCAACGCGGCCCGAACTGCAGCCATTGTCTCCCCCCGTAGAGCGCCGCCACGACGTACGACTCTCGGGAGCTTTGCCGCAGCCTCGCCCCGACAGACAGCGGCAGCACAACCGCCATGTAACAAGCCCGAGCCCGCGGACCCCCGCGGCGCGGAGTATAGCGGCGGCAGCGCCGGCGGCCCCGCGACAATTTGCAGCGCCGGCAGTCATCGCAAACGGTGGCTACGTAGGCACATTACGGAGACGACGACGATGACCAGGTCATGCGCACAGCGGCGCACGGGCTCCAGGCAGCGCACCGCGCGACGCAGTCGACCACCAAGGTGCACGCTTGCTACGAACGGGAGGCGAACTAGGTGATCTTCGGTCTCTTCCTCCACAAGGAGAGGATCCATACGTCGCTGGCCCGCGTCGAGGGCCGCCGAGTCTTCCACCGGGGCGAGGAGAAGGAGGGGGCCCAGCGCACGCAGATCTTGCGCGCGCAGCTCGAGAACACCACCGCAGCCATCGCCAACACCAAGATGGTGACGGCGCTGCTCGTCGACTAGGGGCGCCACGCGGTCGGGCCCTTCCTGTGGGAGTTGGATTCGACGGTGCGCCGGGCGGACGAGCTAAGAGGGCACCTTCACCAAGTGGGCGTCGAACGGCCGCGGGCCGGGCTACGGCGCCGCAGAGCACGCCCAGCACCTGACGAGCCGGTCGCCCACCCAGCTGCAGCATGACGCTAGCGTCTGCATGGCCACCGTTCGCCCGTAATGCCCGACTCCGTCGTCGGCAGCGCAGAAGTGGCGCGAAGATCCCAGCGCAGCGTCGGCTCCAGCAGCAGCAGCAGCAAGCGGGTCAGCCAACCAGTTAGCGTGTGATGTGAAGAAGTACAGTGACCGCCGAATGCGAAATCCACAATTCGCGGCGGCTGCGGGTTGTGGAATCGGCAAGGGACCCGGCCACATGTCGTGAGCGGAGTCAGAGATAGCATGACATGACAACCATACAGTAGCAGCTTGCAGCGATTAGTTACGGCCACTACAAGAGAGAGGGCAACCCCTCCGGCGCGCCAGAGCGGCGCGCCGCTCGAGATCAGGCCCCCCCCCATTCATACATCGATCCCCTGCTGCGCGTGTTTCGTTTTTGGGAAAAGTGGGAGAGGTGGAGGTGAGGGGAGTGGGGGGTTGGGAGCCGCGCGGTTCCTAGCGAGGGAGGTGCACCACCACGGGGTGGTAGCCGCCTCCGCCCGCGGACAGTCAAGCTGTTCATGAAGTGGGGGGAGGACCCGCCCCAGGCGGCGCCCAAGCCGCGAGGTGCGTGCCTGTATCCAGAGCCCCCCTCTGGGGTCAGTAAAGTCGAGCATCCCCCCCATGGTCAGTCGAATTATACGAGAGGATACGCATTCGGACACCCAGCCGCCTTTTCCTTATCCTATCCTCCGCATGTTCCTTGCCCTCCGGTTCTTCCTCCTCCTGCTGTTTCTCCTCCTCCTCTTCCTCCTCGCCCCCTCCTCCTCCTCCTCCTCCTCTTCTTCCTCCTCTCCCCTGCCTCGCCCAGGCGTGCCGTGCCCCACGCCACCGCCGTGGCTGCCCCACGCCGCCGCCGCCGCCGCCGCCGCCGCCGCCGATCGCCGCCGCCAGCCCCGCTGGCGCCGCCGCCCGCCGGCCACCGACGTCGCTGGCGCAGCCGTCGGCCTCCGTCGCCGCAGCCGCCCGCCGTCCTCGCCGCCGTCGCCGTCGGCTTCCGTCGCCGTCGGCGCCGGCGGCTCCCGGCGTCGGCCGCCGCCGCCCCCGGCGCCGCCGGCGATCGCCGCCGGTTGGGGCGCCGCCGCCGCCCGCCCGGCGCCCGCCCGAGCAGGCGCTGCCGCGCCGTTCCCCGTTCCGCCTGCGGGCCGTGGCCGCGCGCCGCGGGGGCGCGGCGCGTCCCCGGCGGCGGAGGCGTGCCGCCGCGCGCGGGCCGCGGCGCCTCGCGGCCTCCGCCGCGAGGGCGTCCTTTTGAGAGGGCGGCCCCCCCTCCCCCTCCCCCCCCTCCCCCCCCTCCCCCCCCTCCCCCCCCTCCTCCCCCTCCACCCCCTCCTCCCCCTCCTCCCCCTCCTCCTCCTCCCCCTCCCCCCCTCCTCCCCCTCCTCCCCCTCCTCCCCCTCCTCCTGGGATCGATGGGCGAGTGGGTCGATGGGTCAGTGGTTCGGCGACGGCATCGATGGGTCAGTGAGGTCGATGGGTCGGCCTCGCCCTTGAGGGGTCGACGGGTCGACACCGCTTCGGATGACCGCCGCCCGCCGTCGCCACGAGGGGCGCTCCATGACAGGGGGGTGTCGACGGGGTCGATGGGTCGATGGTCCAATGGCCCGGGTACAGACTTCTGCACTAGTCGCGCAGCACTTTGCTAACTGGAGGTCGTTTCGGTGTGGACGCCGCTCCTGGCTTGTTTGTTTTGTCATGACATTCCTGTAGCCGCATTTGGCTCGGGGGTCTCACCGCGTCCCCTGGCCCGCGCGTCGATACAGCGGTCTGCGCGCCCACTCGAGTAGTTGTCATGTGGCGAGCTGGACAGCGTTTTGTGAGCAGCGTGGGCGGTCGCCAACGCGTTTGGATAGCCGACGGGCCGCGCTGGAACTATTGACACACTAAGGCAAGCTGGAAAAAAGGATAGGGCGACCTCAGAGGAGGAAGGTGGGCCGAGGCCTCAGGAGTTGGGAATCTTCGCCACGAGGAATGCGTAAGCAGCTCGAGCCGAACAATGTGTTTTGTCAGCGGCAACTCGAATCCGTGGTAAGGGCGGGCTACGCCCTACGCTCGGTTGAAGGCGATGCTAAGCTCGGCACGCGGGGAAGGGGGAGGGAAGAGAAGAAGGAGGATACGACCGCGCGCAGCTGGGGGGCCCTCAGAGTGTGAAGTTCTTCGGGATGTGCCAGTGCGGGCTCGCCGTAGAGCTGGAGGCGCACCCAGTGGTTGACACGCCCAGTGCTAGCAGATCATACTTTTTGGCCCCGCTGTCGCCCCTCAGTAGGGTCGATGGCAGTCGACGGGTCGCCCGCGTCGCCCTGCGAGGCATCGGTGCGTCGGCGCAGCGTGCCTGGCGTGAGGGCGGTGGAGGCAGAGCGAGGCGGCGGAAGGCCTCTGCGGAGGGCCGGCGGGAGCGGGAGCCGCTCCCCCGAGCGCGGTCCATCGTGTGGGGCTCGGGGCTCGGGGACAAAGAGAGGTGCGCCTCTTGTGCCCTCGAGGGGCCCCAAAGTGCGGCCCCCTCCAGAGGCAACGACCAAATCGTCAGACTCTGGGCCTTCCCGATGGGGATCCGAACAGACGGGGTCGGAGGGAGGATCGCGCCGCCTCGCCAGTGCATCGGCGACGCGGAGGAGGCACAGCGAGCCGAGCCGGGGGCGTGCCGACGGGAGCAAGCATCGCTCGCTCGCGAGCTGTGTCAGCGTGTTGGCGCTCGGGGCGCCCGGTGGCCACCATCCTCCTCCTCCTCCTCCTCCTCCCTCGTCCTCCTCCCTCCTCCCTGCTTCCGCTTCCTCCTCCCTCCTCCGCCTCCTCCTCCTCCTCCTCCACCTCCTCCTCCTCCCTCCTCCTCCCTCCTCCTCCCTCCTCCTCCCTCCTCCCTCCCTCCCTCCCTCCCTCCTCCTCCTCCTCCTCCTCCTCCTCCTCCTCCTCCTCCTCCTCCTCCTCCTGTGAACTTTGGCTCAGCGTGTCGCGCCGCCAGTTCTGGCCCACCGCGCTGCGGCGCGACACGCTAACCACGGCCCATGTTTCCACCATCGGCGTCCGAGTTTTTGTCCGAGCCTCCCGCCATCACACGCTCTTCGTTGGTTCCGCCGCGGCACGCTAAGCAGAAGTGCCTGGCCACATCCCCATCCCCCCAACGCGCCCACCGTCCTAGGCGGGGACAAGCCGCGCGAATCCCGGGACAAGCCTCGCGGATCCCGATGGAACAGGCATGTGTCCTCACCTGGGCGGGCAAGTCGGCCAGTGGGGCCACTGCCACGCAAGTGTGGATAGAGATCGGCCATATGCTGCTGACATTAAGGCGGGCCTGTCCCTTTACAGGAGGAGTATTCAAAAATAGTCAAACATCGTCTGGGGACGATTATTCGATTATTTTTTGCTACGTCTGACTATTTACCGCTATCTTTAAATTCTGCTCAAAAACCCACTGTCAGGGGACACGCCCGACCTAATGCTAACACCATGGAAGAAGGTTTCCTGAGGGAGGCGGTCCTCTGAGCAGCGAAAAGCCAGCGCGAACACAATCTGTCGGAGGTCCACGCGGATCTCTCGGGTCCGCGGTGGGCCCCCTGTGACGGCACCTCCGGTGCCGCCCCCCCCAGCGCCGATCCAAGAAGCCCGCGAGGATTTCAGGAATGCACTGCTCATTTTGATGTTTGCTTGTCACGTTCTGCTCCCGCAGGAGCAGCCCTTCCTGCGGAGCCGTCTTCTGACAGCCCCGGGGCCAGATGGACGAGGCCACGTGGGGCCCGAAGGCAGCGACAAGTTCCCAGGACCCTTGTCTTCGAGGACCCTGCTGCTTTTCATGCTACGTAGTCGGTGTTGTCGTCGTCCTCCTCCTCCTCCTCCTCCTCTTCCTCCTCCTCCTCCTCCTCCTTTTCCTCCTCCCCTCCTCACCCCCGAGGTGGGATCGGATCGTTCGAGGGTCCACGTTTCCGAGCTGTTCCTTAGAATACAACCCCTGGGAAATTACCTTCAGCATCGGCTCTGGTATATCCCTGGTCGAAGACGGGCCTCATGCGGCACTGTCCCGCCTGATTTCTTTCATTCTGACCCGATCTGGCTCAATTGAGGGGGCGTAATCCCTGGCCCAATTAAGGCTAATCCGGCTCAGTTGCCCCTAAGACTGGCTCATTTGGCCTTAAGCGTTCTTGCTAAGACCTCCCAGAAGTTGCTTCTTGACTCTCCCTGAGCCTCCCTCCCTCCCCCCTCCTCGTTCACTCATCGCCCCCCCTTTATCCTTCACTCGTAGACGGCGTCGGCGGAGGGCGTGGTGCATCTTTTGCCTCCAGCTCTTCTGGGCCCTCCTCGAGGTCTTCTTGGTGCTCGTGCGGGCCACAGCTGCTCTGAGTTGCTTTCCACGGTTGCGGAGCAAAACTCGCCTCCCCTCCCCCCCCTGTTGCCGCCGCCGCCCGTCGACCGCCGCCGCGCGCCGCCACCGCCGCCGCAAACGTCGCTGCTGTCGGGGACGGACGCCATGGGGCTGCCTGCGACGACGACGACGACGACGACGACGACGACGATGACGACGACGACGACGACGACGACGACGACGACGACGACGACGACGACGACGACGACGACGACGACGACGGCGACGGCGACGGCGACGGCGGCGGCGACGACGGCGACGGCGACGGCGACGGCGACGGCGACGGCGACGCACCGCGCGGGCCCAGGCCGCGTGCCAGGCCGCGACCTGGCCCGAGGCGCGGCCTGCTGGCTCCCCGGCGCCCGCCGCGGGCAGGACGCCCGCCTCCAGCCCGTCGTCTGGCGGCGCCCCGCCCGCTGCGCCCGCCGGGGGCGAGGGAGCCCCTCCTTGGAACCAAAGGAAGGGAGGGGGGAGGTAGCTTCCGGCAGAGGGGGGTCAAGGGGAGGGAGGGTTAGCTAAGCCCCCCTTCCCTTTCGTAAGGGGGGGAGGGGGGGGGTGGCTTCCCGGGTGCCGAAAGGGGGGAGGGGGGCTGCTAAGCAGCCCCCCCCCCTTGGAACCAAAGGGGGGACGGGGGGGTAGCTTCTGGCAGAGGTGAGTCGAGAGGAGGGGGGTAGTAGCTAAGCTCCTCCTCCCTTTGGAAAGGAGGGGAGGGGGGGGGGGGGTAGCTTCGGAGTAGCGTAAAGGGTGGAGTGGGGGGGTAGCTTCAGGGGGGGGGGCCGAGAAAGGGCGGGAGGGGGGGGGGCTTCCAGCAGGGGAGGTCGAAGGGAGAGGGGGGTAGCTAAGGGGGGACCCCCCCTCCTTTGCTCCGGCGCTGTGGGCGCGCTCTCCTTTAATTGCTGACCTCGGGGGGTCGACCGCCCGAGTGGGTGGCCTTGCACCAGAAAGGCTTCAGGCCTGGAGCTGGACGATGGTGCCGATGACGATGCGGATCGCTCGGCTTTTCATCTGGCCAGCGCTGACAAACAGAGACTGCATATATGTGCGTCTAGCGAAGATCTGCCGACCTGCGGCCTATCTGCACTCGGCCACTCGTCGATCCGAACTGCGAGATGGCCGCTCTTCGCTTGAAGTGTGCCTGAGCGTTCGCCTGATCTACCGCCCGAGTGGGTGGCCTTGCACCGGAACGGATCTGGCTCGGGCCGATTTGTTTGATCGGCGCTGGAGCCCCCCTGGCGGCCCTTCCGGCGTTGCCCATGGCGCGCTCCGCGCTCCAGGACAGGACAGTCCAGCACTGGCCCCTTCGAAAGCCGCGCGGACTTCCGACAGTTGTACCCCAAGCAGTGCTTGCGCAGAGGGGGCACTCCTCTACAGTGCCGTTTTCAATACATGCTCCGCGTGTGGATCATGTATGAAAATGCCAGGATTTAGTATTAAAAAGCGATGAATTCATGTATACATGTATTCATAAAGCCATCATGGATTTTTTTTTTCAGAATCCTATGTATTAAAGCCTGCCCTGTACTCGAAGGGATTTGATGCGTCAGCCGAGGTTTCGCCTGGTGCCCCGTCGGGTGCCTCGTGCTCTGGGTGGGCCTGGCGAGTTCCCGCCCGGTGCCCACCCGCAGGTGCCTCGTGGGCGCCCCGTGCGTTGGCGGATGGGCATGCCGAGAGCTCGCGTGGTGCCCGCGCGTGGCCGCCTCGTGGGCGCCTCGTGCGCCGGTGCGTGCGTCGAGCTCTCGCCTGGTGCCCGCACGTGGCCGCCCTTTGCGCGCCGCTGTGCGTCGCCCGGTGCCCGCCCGCGGCCGCCTCGTGCGCTCCTCGCGCGCTGGGCGTCTGCAGAGACTGTGCGGCGTGGCTCTTACCACGCAGCCTGCACCACCTTGCGCCGCATCGTCCGCGTCGACCCGATTGGGCGGGGAGGCGCGGCCAAAATGGTGAGTCCAGGGACGTGGCGGTGAGCCTCGTGGACATCGAGCACGTCGGGGACTGAGCGCGTGGGCTCCCGAAGGGGCCTACGAACCGTGCGGTCGGGCGCGCAGAGCCCGGCTGTGTGGTCAGTGGGAAACGAAAAGGCTTGCACCACACATAATGCACCACGGACAATGCACCCCACAGCCTGCACCACCTAGACGTGACCACTCAGGTTGCACCGCATAGCTTCTACAACATAACGTACGCCCCATAGCTTGCACAACATAGCTGGCACCGCACAGTTTGCACCACGTGCGTTGCTCCACGTAGCATCGGCCTCATAACGTGCGCCACATAGCTGACGCATCCACAGTGCAATGACCTGCTGCTTGGGGTCCACGCTGGCACGCATTGTTTATGTTGTTGGTTGTTCACCTGTGAGTGCGATTCGACAGCGATCGCAGCGGCTTGTGCGTTGCGTCTTGGCCACCCCGCGCCCACCTCATTTCGCGCACCAGAGGGTCAGCCTGGGCCCAGGGCCACTCTTGCGTGTAGCCGACGGGTGGTGATCAACCCTGACCTCGATGATAAAGGGCTTCTGACGTCGTCTGGCCGCGTTGAATTTCCGGGGGCGCCCATCCACTGTTGTCCGCTGGAGCGACGAGGGACCCGCGGGTTCTCAGCTGAAAACCGCGCCAGCCCTCTCGTGGCCGACCAGCCGGCCGCCCCATTCGAGAGGATTTCCGTCCAGCCCGCCTCATCTCCGACGCCGCAGGAGCCCTGGCGGAAGGAGCAGTGCCCTCGTGGAGGAGGATGGCGAGGAGGGGCGAGCGGAGAGGAAGGTGAGGAGGCTGCGGAATATGAAAAGGAGGTTGGCGGGAAGGGGCGAATGGAGGAGGAGGACGAAAGACGAAGGGTGAGGAGGACGACGACGATAACAAGTGGCATGGGCGGTGGGGGAGGGGGACGATAACAGGTTGAGGCAGGGGAGGCGGAGGCGGAGGAGGAGTAACTGGGACACGGACGAGGACACGGTGGCTGATGGTTGGTAGGGGGATGGGCTGGCAGGAAGACAGGGATGGGAAGAAGCAAGAGTTTCAAGACATGCGATGCCGTCACTTTCGCCGTTGCCACGTTTCCTAGGCATGCGATGTCTTAACTTGTTCGATACGGGACCCCTGGAAGCCCCGACGCACTCCCCCAAGGCCACTAGTTAGTTTGTGCTGTTTTGCGGTGGTCCCTGGGGGGTGGGGGGGGGCAGGGGCCCCCGGAGGTCGAAACCGACGAACAACCTATGTCTTGAGCTGTTCAAGACATTGGAGGTATGGGTCATCGTCTTCCTCCTTCCTCCATCCTCCTGCCTCCTCTGTCCCTTTCTCTCATCCCCCCTCTCTCATCGCTCCTCCCCCCGTCCTCCCCTTCCAACCACCCTCCTTCCTCAAGCTGAGTATACTGCCGCACACTCCACCCCGTCTCTCATTTTGAACTCCTCTTCCATCTCCTCCTGACCTGATCGCTGTGACCTGCTTCTCGCTGGCCCACGCTGCTTTACCCGTGAGCCGTGCTGCCCCTGCTGCGCTGCCCATGATCCGTGCCACTCCCCGCTGCGCTGAGACCTGCTGCGTTTTTCCCTACTCATGAGGGTACTTGGCTTGTCTTTTGAATGCGTGCTGTGCCGCAGTTCGACGTGGGAGGAGGCTCCTGCGCCTCCCCCTCCCTTGCCTCCAGCTTACGCTAGTTCGACGCGGGAGACGGAGGATCCTAGTACAAACGGATGCGTCAGCGCTCCGATAGGTTGACGAGGCACAGGTGTAATGCACTCCTGGCGATCAGGGCGCTGATTACCATGAGTCAGAATTAGATGTTTCGATCCCAGGGCCCAGGGTGAGTGCATGTTGGCCCAAGGGATCAGGAGAAGAAGAAGAAGAAGAAGCGTGGTAAGGAAACGGACGAGGAAACGTACAGTGAAAGGAGAGGAGGAGGGGGCACCGCGAGGCCCGGCGGGGACAGCGAGTCTGATCCCCGGTGGGTGAAGGCGTGGCCCAGGCGAGAGCAGCTCTTCCCGAATGGTGAAATTCTGTGGGCGCGTCCCCCAGGACGAGCTGGAGGCAAGGAAGGGGGAGGCGCAGGAGCCGCCTCCAACGTCGACCTAGAGGTATTTCTTTCCCGCTCGACGTCTCAGACGCCCCATAAGCCGCAGCGTCGCGATATCAAGCAACGGCACACCACACATTCAACATACAAGCCAAATAGCAGTATGAGCAGGGGAAACCGCAGCAGATCTTAGCGCAGAGCAGAGCAGCACGGATCATAGGCAGCGCTGCAGGGGCAGAACAGCTCACGTGTAAAGTAGCGTGGGCCAGCGCGAAGCAGGTCACAGCGATCAAGGAGGATGAAGAGGAGGATGAGGAGAAGGAAGATGGCACAAAGGGGGGAATAGGGAGGCAGAGAGAGGAGGAGGAGGAGAAGGAGGAGGACGAGGAGGAGGAGGAGGAGGAGAAGGAGGAGGATCAGGCGGAGGAGGAGGAGGTCAAGATGAGGGACGGGGTGGGGTGTCGGGCTGTATACTCTGCTTGAGGAGGGAGGAGGGTGGAGAGGGGAGGAAGGAGGGAGGAGAAATGAGAGAGGAGGTAGGAGGGAAGAAAAGGGACAGAGGAAGCAGGAGGATGATGGAGGTCGGAGGAAGACGAGGACCCAGATCTCCAATGTCTTGAACAGCTCAAGACACAGGTTTTTCGTCGGTTTCCACCTCCAGGGGCCCCTCACCGCCCCTGGGGACAACCGCAAAACGGCACAGTATGAACAGGTGGCCCTGGGGGAGTTTGACGGGGCTTCCAGGGGCCCCGTATCGAACAAGTTAAGCCAACGCATGTCTAGTGAGCGTGGCGACGGGGAAGGTGGCGGCACCGCATGTCCTGGAGCTAATCTCTTGAGGCTGCCCCAATCCCCCATGGGGCTGGTCTGGAAGACAATCGCTTCACGATCGTCTGCACAAGCGCACGAGGATCGATCACAAACGATGAACAATGTTATATACATGCTCTTGCGGTCACGATATCGAAGCGCGATTCCATGGATACCTTCTGCACGGCGCATCCTCGCAGAGGCGTCCTGCATTTATGCTGTCGCGGTCGAAGGGTCCAGACCGCGACGCCGTAGATGCGGATGATGACGGTCAGGCGCGTTTGCGTAGCGTGTCGCGCCGCCTGTTCTCTGCGGCGCGACACCCTACCCTAAACACGCCCCAGTCCCCAGGCGTTAACGTCCAGATTCTTTCCGATCGTTGCGCCCCGCGGAGCTGAGCGACACTGCATCAGCTCACAAGGCACAGTGGCCGTGCTGCCAGGGCCGCCGCCGCGACACGCGTGCCTCCCGCCCACGAGCCAGCGAGGAGGGAGGAGGGGGCGCACAGGCCTCGAGGACGACCCAGACGCCCGGCGCCTCGACCTGCTCGATGCGTGGGTCCCCCTGGACCTCGTCGGCCCTTGCCCCG